GATGGCATGCTCGCAGGTCACACATTTTGCTTTTTGCGGGCCTTCCGCGGCGTACCCTTGGGGCCTCTCCCTCAATTTTTAGTCTCGGTCTTACCCCACCCCACCCATAGGCCATGATTGGGGGGCCGGCTGGCCAACTTTCCGGGGTTGCTGCCACTGGCCAGCAGGCCCCCCCAGGACTTCACTCGCCAGCCAGGCTGAGGGACCCCACCCATGCACAAATTCATGCACCGGGCCTCTAGTCTATCTATATAAAAGGCTAATATGCTAAGTGTCCTTCCCACCTTCTGACTGGTCAATATGATACACACTGACCACCAGGGGGCAGATGCTCAATGCAGAAGCTGCCCTGACGTGCACAAAGAAATGACACCACGTACCTGGCGCCCAGAAAGCAACGCGTGGCTTTCCCCAAGTAGGACACAGGGCCCACCACCACCCCGGAGCGACACCCCACCAAATCGCAGCCGACGCTGTCAAGACCCCATGGCGCAAAATGCAGCCCATAGCCCAGCCCACCCTGGAAACGGTGGCTGTGGCCGCCAAGTAATGATGTCAGGTAGCAACGCCCAGCTTCCTCTCCCTAGCGACTAGCCTCCTTGGAGTTCCAGGAACACAGATGGAAACTTTTCACACTTCAACCAAATATCTGTGAAGTGTTTTCCCATGCCTCATCTCATTTGATCCTCATGGAAGTCTTGGAGTAAGTAGATAGGGACTTGGTGGAATCCTATTTTCTTTTCATTAGCCAGAAAATGGAGATTTAGAAAGCTTAGAAACTTGACCCGACTGAAAAGAAGAAATGGTGGCCTTAACCGGTTGGCTCAGTGGATAGAGCGTCGACCTGCAGACTGAAGGGTCCCAGGTTTGATCCCAGTCAAGGGGGCATGTACCTTGGTTGTGGGCACATCCTCAGTAGGGGGTGTTCAGGAGGCAGCTGATCGATGTTTCTCTCTCATCGATGTTTCTAACTCTCTATCCCCTCTCCTTCCTCTCTGTAACAAATCAATAAAATATATATTTAAAAAACGCGCTGTCCAAATGATAGGCCCAGTTACTTGCTCTTGAGCCCTGGAAACCTGGCTGGTGAGAGTGAGGAGCTGGAGTGTAAATGCTGATCACACAGCCGCGCGTGGTTACTCCCGCGGTGCTGCACAGCTAGCTACAGATGAGAGCCGTTTTAGGGCTCCTTAGGATATAAACAGTTAGCTTTTTAGAATTTTCTTGAGTGAAATGTTCTTCCAGTTCCTTATTTCTGTGCAGGGTACATGCTGTTTAGTGTGCAATGAGGTATGTCGTCCCTATCTTGGAGAAAAATACACAGAGGAAGTTTAAACAAGCACAGGAAAGACAACATAGACAGACCAGTGACAGCGCAATATGCTTTAATATTAATAAAAAGGCAAATTATACCAAGTGTAGAGGAGTCAGAGGGACAGGGGTCTCTATAGGAGCATGAGGCGCGGGGGCTGGGCATGCTGCCCGTGTGCAGGGCAGAGAGGAGTGGAGACGCCACAACAATGAAACCAGTAGTTTAGGGCCTGACAGGTGAGAGCAGGCTCTGTGGGAGGCTGATTGGCTGGAGCACGGAGGCGGTTTGGAAGATGCGATCACCGGTATCGAACATAGTTATGGCTGCCTCCGAATTCATGGCTAAGAAGCTTGGGTACAGCTCTCAGAGGGAAACTTCCGCATTATTGAAGAACGTAGCACTACGGGAAATGCCATCAGAGTTTCAGGGCAGGAGCACAGCCCTGGCAGGTGTGATGAGCAGAGAAACCGTTGGGAAGCCCACACTCCCTGGGCAGGAGGCACAGGTCTGACCTGGGGCTATGGAGGGGACGGCCATAGAGGGCACGTGGCAGGCGGTGCTGAGTGTGAGAAGGCGACTGTGGAGGCACCAGAGCGTCACAGCACGATGGACTGAATGGTTGCACTTGTGGGGGAAGCGAGTCCAGCCACGTCCCCAGGTTGTGGTGAGAGATGGGGGTGAAGGTGTTACAGCCTGAACCCTGGGGTGAACTGGAGATTTCAGGGGGAAGCAGCCACTGGATGGTACCTGGCTGACAAGCCTTGGTTGGAATTAGTCACTGTTCACACATTTCAGTGAGGCATTAACATTTAGCTTGGCCCTGGCCAGGCAGCCCAGTTGGTTAGAGCATTGTCTTCATTACGCCAAGGTTGTGGGTTCAATCCCCAGTCAGGGCACATACAAGAAGCGACCAATGGATACATAAGTAGAACAGCAAATTGATGTTTATCTCTACCCCCCCTTCTAAAATCAATCAATAAAAAGATGCTACCTTTAACCAAGACTTAATCTGAAAACTCGAGTGTGTTTTTATGTGAGGACTGGAGCATTGTTAATGTTAACAAGCACATGATCTGTAAGCTTCAGCAGAATGATCATTAGCACCAATGCCATGTTTGTAACTAGTATTTTATTGAACCTTCTCCCCACCGTTCCCACTCCCCACGTCCCCCCTCACTGCTAACTCTGATCTTTTCTTTGTCGAGTGAACAAAAGCAAACATGACGAACAACTGGTCTGAGAACCTGGGCCCAATGCTGTGTGGTCTGGGAATGAAGCTGCTATGGGTTGCTGCCCAGTGAGTTGGGTAATAAACTGAACACTTTCTCTCTCTAGAACTGGAAGTGGAAAATTAGACTTGTCCCAGCCATTCTCCGCTGGTAGTCTTCGTCAAACCTCTCGTTCTGAGCCACGATGAAGTGATTCTTCCAGTCTCCGACTGCTCCTGAAAAGAAGTGGAAGTCAGAGCTACTGGAGGACTGTGTGCCCTCTGTCCTGCTCTTGTGTGCGGTGTCCACTCACCCTGCAGGAGGGCAGGGCTGGGCTCGGCGTTCTTCCTGCCAGCCCGTCCCTTTCCATCTGAAGGGAAGAGGACATCTGTCTGATTGTGAGGCCAGGAGAGCCTGCTGCCCTTGAGCCACATTATGGCGGGGGTGAAAGGGGGGGACACCACGTTAAAACCGCAGGCCTGGGGGCTCTCCTGTCTTTCCCCGTCCTCTTGCATGTCAGATAGCATAGAGCCATCTACACCATGGATGCTTTGCTCCATCGGACCTAAGTGTATGTCCACCTTATTATTGAGAACTCTGGAGGGGAGTGAGGTAAGGCGGTGGGTTTAGGCACTAAACCTTACTCTCTAGTTGTGGCTACACGTTGGTTTCATTTCGTCTGTGGTCTCTTAAATTCTCCTTCCCCAGTATCATTTATTATGGACCTTGTCTTATCCATGGAAACCTCCCCACAGGCTCTGGGGTCCTCGACAGTTCTTTCAAGGTTGTGACGCGCAGAGAGAACCAGCTTTCCTCATGAACGGAGACACCGAGCGGTCCGTGACCTCCGCGGGGACTGCCGAGCAGTTCGCCATGGGATTTTGCTTCATAACATCAAACGAAGTGTGATGGACAATTTTACCCAGGACGCTGCCATCCAGCTTTTTCCCAATAAATTCTCCCAGCTTCCAGATTTCATGCTTTGGGTTCTGTGATCAGAGTGAAAAGAAAAGTGAAGATTTGATATAAAACAGTTTAAAAAATATTGCATTGAATTAATAATGGTGATAAGTAACATAAAATAAAAAACAATACTGCCTCCCAAATGCTCAACTTTCCAGAAATGACTCATTTTAATACAGTAACACAGATTTTTAAAAATTAACCATAGACAACCAAGATGGCAGCATAAGGTACGTGCCGCCCCCCATAACCACATTAAAACTACAACTAAAAGACAAAACAGCTATCATCCAGAATCACGGGAAAGCTGGCTGAGTGGAAGTTCTACAACTAGAAGAAAAGAAAAAAGCGCATTGAGGCTGGGTAGGAGGTGCGGAGGCGCCAAGAGCAGAGGTACGGAGGCGCGCAAACCAGGATGCACCTGGGTATGCGGTTTTTTTCAATTGGAAGAGAGATACAAGCTCCGGACTGCACTGAGCTCATTTCCGGCGAGACTCTGGGGACCCAGACTCCTACGGGGAGAAACTGGACGGTCTGGCATCGGGTCAGAAAGCGAGGGTGGCTTTCTTGCAGAACTGCTTGCAGGGATCATTGTTGCTGTGGGGGCACGGGACTCGGCGATGTGGGGACCTGGAGATGGCTGACGGACAGGCATCGCTGTTTGATCCACCCTGGTGATTCTCTGAGACCCCGCCCCACCCAATTTATAACCCCACCCAAGCTGTGTGCAACGATGCAAATGAATTGCCTGTCCTTTTGCAGCCTAACCTAACAAACTGAAGCTGGGTCAGAGAGCTCCAAAATTTCCAAACCCCAAACAAAGAGGAGAAATCTGCAGATCTCACGGTAGCTCCTGCTGGGTGGACTCATACATTGATTGAATTTGCACCTCCTTGGAGATCCAGGAGGCAGTGTACCCAGTGGTCAGATACCAGATTTCAACTCCTCACATCCATAAGTGACACACTCAAGAGGCAGACTCAGTGAGCACCAAAGACCCATTGAAGCAAGTCCTGCCCCATAAGGGTGTCTCCAGCACAGCAGTTCTTCCACTATAGACACAGTGGGTCCTTGCAGTCAATTGGCCTGGAGGTCATTTCCTCCCAGGCATACCAACAGCAATCAAGGCTTAACTGCAACAAGACTGTGCACCTAGCCCACAAAGGGGTGCACTAAGGGTGTCCACCTCAGGTGATTGGGGAGGCTGAGCCCCTGGGCCCAATAGGACACCTACCACACAAAGCCACTATCAACACAGGGAAGCAGCTAAAATGCGGAGACGAACATGTCACAAATTAAAGAAATGGAGGAAAGCAAATTACTGGATTTTGAGTTCAAAACCACAGTTATAAGGTTACTCAAGAATCTTCTACAAACTTCCCAGGAGGAACTTAGTGAGACCTCTAAGGATCTTAATGAGAATGCCAAAAAAATGGAAAAGGATCAGTCAGAAATTAAGCATACACTGACTGAAATAAAGAATATTATACAGAGATCCAACAGCAGACTAGAGGGTCGCAAGAATCAAGTCAAAGATTTGAAATACGAGGAAGCAAAAAACACCCATCCAGAAAAGCAAAAAGAAAAAAGAATCCAAAAATATGAAGATAGTGTAAGGAGCCTCTGGGACAACTTCAAACATACCAACATCCGAATTATGGGGGTGCCAGAAGAAGAGAGAGAGCAAAATATTGAAAGCTTGCCCTAACCGATTTGGCTCAGTGGATAGAGCGTCAGCCTGCGGACTCAATGGTCCCAGGTTCGATTCTGGTCAAGGACATATACCTTCGTTGTGGGCACATCCCCAGTGGGGGGTGTGCAGGAGGCAGCTGATGGATGTTTCTCTCTCATCGATGTTTCTAACTCTCTATCCCTCTCCCTCCCTCTCTGTAAAAAATCAATAAAGTATATATATTTTTAAAAAGATATTGAAAGCCTATTAGAAGAAATAATGACAGAAAACTTCCCCTACCTGATGAAAGAAATAGACTTACAAGTCCAGGAAGCAAAGAGAACTCCAAATTAGAGGAATTCAAAGAGGACCACACCAAGACACATCATAATTAAAATGCCAAGGGCAAAAGACAAAGAGAGAATCTTAAAAGCAGCAAGAGAAAGATAGTCAGTTACCTACAAGGGAGTACCCATACGACTGTCAGCTGATTTCTCAACAGAAACCATGCAGGCCAGAAGAGAGTGGCAAGAAATATTCAAAGTGATGAATAGGAAGGACCTACAACCAAGATTACTCTACCCAGCAAAGCTATCATGTAGAATTGAAGGTCAGATAAAGAGCTTCACAGACAAGAAAAAGCTAAAGAAGTTCATCACCACCAAACCAGGATTTATAAAATGCTGAAGGGTATTCTTTAAGAAGAGGAAGAAGAAAAAGGTAAAGATAAAAATTATAAACAACAAATACATATCTGGGGGAGGGGGTAAGAGATCAACCGAAGAACTTGTATGCATGCATATAAGCATAACCAATGGACACAAGACACTGGGGGGTAGGGGAGACCAGGGGAATGTCAAGGGAAGGGGGGGAGGAGACCTATGTAATACTCTTTGTAATACTTTAAGCAAAAAAACAAAATTTTAAAAAAATACATATCTATCAACAAGTGAATCTAAAAATTAAGTGAATAAAAAACCTGATGAACAGAGTAAACTGGTGAATATAATAGAAGCAGGGGCATAGGAAGGGAGTGGACTGACAATTCTCAGGGGGAAGGGGGTGTGGGAGGTGCGGGAAGAGATTGGACAAAAATCTTACACCTATGGGTGAGGACAGTGGCTGGGGGTAAGGGCATTGGGTGGGGTGGGAACCAGGTGGAGGGGAGCTATGGGGGGAAAAAAGAGGGACATCTGTAATAATCTAAAGAATAAAGGTTTATTTTTAAAAAAATTAACCATGCCCTAGCCTGTTTGGCTCAATGGTTACAGTGTTAGCCTGAGGACTGAAGGGCCCAGGTTTGATTCCGGTCAAGGGCATATGCCCAGGTTGCGGGCTCGATCCCCAGTTGGGGGCATGCAGGAGGCAGCCAATCAATGATTCTCTCTCATCATTGATGTTTCTCTCTCTCTCCTTCTCCCTTCCTCTCTGAAATCAATTTTAAAAAATTAAAAAAAAAAGAAAAAGAAAAATTACCCATAATTATTAAGCTTTTCCTGTTCTGAGATGGAAGCACCGCTGAGTGTGATGCAGTGTGTGGAAATGCTGCCCTAAACTTATTTCCAAATGTCCTGCTAGGGCCGTTCCTGGAGGGTCTTGGTCGGCCACGTGTGCAGCAGGGAGAGTCTGTAACCTGGTGATGAAAACGAAGATACCACAGAGGCACGGGGCAGGCGATGGAGGCCTGATGGGGGGAGGCTGCCGCTGGCTCTGACTTTGACAGAAACGCGCCCAGACAGTGCTGTGCGGCAGAGGATGGAGAGGACCTGTTGCACTCAGGAGGCGACTGAGAGGCGCTCATGGCTGACGACTCCAGGCCCAGCCCGTCTGACTGGTGCGTAGGTGTCTCAGTGCCTAGAGAGCCAGTGTTCTCTCATCAGAGGGAGGCAGAGCCCTGGGAGATGTGGCCGTGGGGCGTACCTGTTTCTAGAAGGAGTGGGGGGAGGGCAAGTGGAGGAGTTTACCCCAAGACGGTATCTTTTGCTTTATGATGAGCTTCTGCTTTAAAAGGTTGGATGTTTAATTTGCCCAGGCTGGGGGCTCAGTGGTTAGAGCCCCTGCCTGTGATCTGAAGGGTCACAGGTTCGATTCTGCTCAGGGGCACATACCTCAATTGCAGGCTGGATCCCCGGCCCCAGTCAAGCCACGTGGGGAAAGCAGCCAATCCATGTGTCTCTCACATCGATGTTTCTCTCTCTCCCCCTCCCTCCCACCCTCTCAGAAAGCCAATGGGAAAAAACATACACTTGGGTGAAGATTAACGACAACAAAAAGTGCTTAATTTAATTGGCCTACAGAGTAGGAATCAGCAAGAGTGCGGAAAACTGAGCTTTGTGTGACTACGTTCAGGGAATATTCCAGAATAAGACCACAGAACATGTAAAAGGGTTTAGGGACTCTGAGGTTAGACTGCCTGTGTATTAGAATATTAGAAATGTAATAAGTTATTTATTTTGAAAAACCATAGAGTGCAATTTAAAACAAAAGAAGAACTCATAGACGTGGGGAACAGACTGGGGGTGCAGGGGCAGGACGGGGCTGCGCAGAATGGGTGAGGGGTCAGAGGTACAGACGCCCAGCTGTCCGCTCAGTCAGTCCTGGGGTGTATGTGTAGCAGGCAACTGTGGTTAATGATACTGCGTTGC